TAATTAAATTCACATCTTTGGCAAACACTTGAATGCTTACCGTATTAAAGTAACTTTGTAAAGCAAAATCATGCGCAGCAGCAGAATCGGTGTCAGAGTGGCCATTTGTCAATGCTACTTTTAACATTCATCTGCAAATTGGCAATTCAATATTACCATTCTATTCTCACTCAGTTAATCTATTCAAGCATATAAATACACACAGCGTACACGTGTGTACATGTTAATATTTCGATTGTATATGTGAGTTATTGCTGACTTACATTTTAAGTGTGACATTTACTGCAACCTCCAATATAATACTGTATACCGTTCACAGGCTGGTGTGAGCTGTTTTTAAAACTGATCTCATCAGCAAAGCTGCAGGAGAATGTCGGTGTGCTGCCTGGTGCATTAGGGTTTTGCTTGCGCTGAGCACTCTTTCAATCTAATTGCCTGTAGATGTATCATTGGGATTAGAATGTTCAAACCAGGCCAAAAGTATATAGTGCACAGTGAATTTTCCCTTTCGCTGCCAGATTACTTTCACTCTACCTGCGTTCTTTTAATGATCGTGAATTTTTTTCAAGATTATACGTTTCTTCTTCAAAGAAAACGTGTTCACAAGCTTGCAATAAACTGAACGTGTTGTTAATTAAAACAATTTAATCCTTTGCCTATATCGAGTAAACGCCATCCTCTAATCTGTAAGACAGTACTGTGGTTATTACCAATAAATTACGTGACAGCATTTGGTAAAAGAGAAATCGCAAATATCGACACAGAGGTACAGGACATATTGCTAAAATACAACACGAAATTTAAACAACGGTCCAATTTGAAAAGATATTGTTTTTGAAAGAGGCAAAAGCATTCCTGCATTTCCACTGAGAAGCGTTCACTTCCAAATAACCATTCAGTCTTGATAAGTGTTTGATATGCCGCTTGCGTCGCTGTCCAACCAACAGGAAATCAAATGCTTTTAATGCTTCTAAAATGTAAATATTAAATAAATTGTGACCTCATTAAACGCTAAATCGTTTTTCTCTGTTGTTTTATTTATTGTTTAATGATAGTTATTACACTATATATTTGGAATCAAATTTAATATGCATTTTTATTTCATTGCATTGCTTCTGTATTAAATATTTACTTTCTGTATTTGTAAAGTCTATTTATTTCCTCTCTCAGGTCTCAGTTGAAAAGATATTTATGATCTCAATCGGATCTAACCTGGTCATAAACGTCTCTGTCCGTTCATGATCTGACATTTCTATGCAGTAGAACTAAAAAAAAGTCCACGTTCAAAATAATATGCACATTTTTGGAAATCCACGAGGAAAATCCGCATTTTCCCTGCGAAATTACATAGTTGTTCATGGATAGATTTTTTTTAAGAAACACTTCTGTTATTCGAAAGACACTGCGATGGGATTAATTTATTTCTTTAAATTATGGAAAACTTCAAAGAAGCGGCTGTAATTTTAAATGTTTTTTTTCCTTGTGCGGTGCCGTACAATCCAAAGATGCGGAGACAGATGGCAGTACAGAAAGATAAATAAAGAGAGACGTAGATTCAAAGGGATAAAAACAGATATTCACAGAGACCAAGAGTGATACAAAAAGACAAAGTGAAAAAAAGACAAACGGAGATAGAGAGATACCCAGAGACAAAGAGAGACAAACAGAGGTACAGAGAGATACCCAGAGACAAAGAGAGACACACAGAGGTACAGAGAGATACCCAGAGACAAAGAGAGACAAACAGAGGTACAGAGAGATACCCAGAGACAAAGAGAGACACACAGAGGTACAGATAGATACCCAGAGACAAAGAGAGACAAACAGAGATACAGAGAGATACCCAGAGACAAAGAGAGACAAACAAAGGTACAGGGAGATACCCAGAGACAAAGAGAGACAAACAGAGATACAGAGAGATACCCAGAGACAAAGAGAGACACACAGAGATACAGAGAGATACCCAGAGACAAAGAGAGACAAACAGAGGTACAGAGAGATACCCAGAGACAAAGAGAGACAAACAGAGGTACAGAGAGATACCCAGAGACAAAGAGAGACAAACAGAGATACAGAGAGATACCCAGAGACAAAGAGAGACAAACAGAGATACAGAGAGATACCCAGAGACAAAGAGAGACAAACAGAGATACAGAGAGATACCCAGAGACAAAGAGAGACAAACAGAGATACAGAGAGATACCCAGAGACAAAGAGAGACAAACAGAGGCACATGTTTTTTTTTATTTGGGATGGGGGGGTTAACTCGCACAGTCTAGCTGCTGGTGTGATCTGTTGAAAAGTTAAGGATTTTTGCATTCAAAAAGAATGAGATATCAAGTCTCAAAAATGCAAATAAATCCTTACCTTTAGACTCGAAAGGCAGATTTGTTCCATTTCGGCTTGAGAGAAAAATGACAAAGCTCCTAAATTCTACATATTTTTCACCGATCTCTGGAGTTGCTAGTTACATAGCAAACTCCACCTGTAATCTACAAAATTTTAGAGGGCTTATGGATTTGCATGGCTTAATACGCCTATAATTCACGGCGCACCACAAATGATATCTTCATGGACTTTTTGCGGTACGTCGCGGAGTGCTGCACATTATGAAATGCGCTGTGAGGTTCTGCTGTACTGTATTTCGATGTCAAATGCGAGTTAGTTATCTCAACAAAGATTTTATTTATTTATTTATTGGCCAACTGTATTATTCGATAAAAAAATAAGTTGAAGGATCTTTGAGAACACAAGATACACATCCATGTGGGGAAAGAACCAATAGTAAACCGACGTGAAAATAGATTTTTGTTATTGTTACAGTTAATCTCGAATCATATTTTGTGTAAATGTTATTTTAAAGAGTTGGCTAGAATAATATATGCTTTAAAAATATTGTGTGTGTGTGTACAATAGCTTCAACTTCGAATAACTATGTTTTTATGTGAGATAAAAAAGGCTTGAAACACTATTGATTATTCATAAGCCCCAACATCAATGAATTAAAACCAAAAGCTCCAGTCACACACTCACCATCACGGGAGGACATTTCAATAATTGTCCACCAAACAGTAGCCCGTCCTCACAGTGATGAGGATAAAATGGAGCAGTAACTGCCACTGCAGAATCGTCCCCAGGGAGGCCATTAACACTTACAAATCTACATCAGTTGACAGGAGCATACCAGCAGATCTAGGGTCCTCAGCCGTACGAGTCTTCTTTTATTTTATTATGCCCATGATGGGTTGTTTTTTAAGCAGAAACTCTGAATATATTCATTAATATTAGATTAGCAATCATTTTAAGTAGCCTGTTTTCTTTGCCGAACTTTAAACCTGTCAAAATGCATTTATTGGTTAATTACAGTGCCACAAGGCTGGTAATCTTAATTATGGCATGCTAATCTCAGCACAGCGTGATGCTGGTCCAGAGGAGCCAGATTCAGACTAATAATTGAAGTGGTTTGGTACTGTATGGGATAAGCTGGGCATGGTGACAGTCGCTTTATCTTGTACTTTGGTGGCAGGGGTTGATGGATCACACGCACTTGAGAAAACCACAACTCTGCCAAGCCGCGCAGTGACCAGGAGATGGCAGTACAACAAAGGGACTCTTGAATCCTTCTGTGTGGGATTATTATTTGTTCTATACAGTACTCCAGTTTCCTCCCTCAAGGCCCACACGTATTCATGGAAGTGACCAAACATTCCAGTACAGGACTCTTTGTAAAAATAGTCTGGAGACTAAGTGAGGATTTAATGGATTAAAAAAACCCATCACGGTCCACTGAGGACAAATGATCACTTTGAAACCATCGTCAATTGTTCTCCCTGGTCCCTAGGGTTTTCAAGTGTAATTAAATAACATTTCATTATCAGTAGTAAATTTGTGGCAATCATTTATGCAATCAATCAGGCTGCATTGATTTGCTTATTCTCTGTTTTATATAACAATCTTAATATTTGTTCCTGCAAGAAATACAAGTTGATAATTGTTTTCACTGCACTATTTATTAGGTATGTTTTGAGTTATATCTTGAGCTATGAAAGAGCACACATTACTCACACATTACAATATCCCTATACATGCGCATCAAGTGCAGTGGAGAAATTCAAACAACATTAGTTCAAAGATTAAAACTAAATAACCACAAAACTAAAACACACAGACTTTGCTCAATGTATATTTAATGTGAATAATGTATCACTGGAATAGTCATAGCTAGTGCATTGAAAGTGGGAGGAAAGGTTAAAAAGTGAACAGAAAATAAATCTGATACCACGACAGACATGTTGAGAAAGAGGATCAATAAAAAATAGACGGAGAAGCGAAATAAATTATAGAATGAATACACAGAATTAAATTGTGGAAAAATAGTAAAATGAATCAGAACAACTCAAATAATTGAAGATTCCATAACAATGAGAGCATGAATTCAGCAAAAATGAGGCTGGTAATTGGCAAGTCACAAAGGGTAGCTTCTAAGAGAGGAAGACGGACCCATAGCACATCATAGAACACAATCTGAAAAGCAGTGGATGAATTTAATATGAATCTCTATGGAAACAAAAGTCTATATTGTTGGAATCAAACCATTTTTTCAGGTGAAGAAATCAAAACCATTGCTACAGGTTGAAGAAGGAATGAAGAAGTCACCACTGCCCTTCATATTATTTTAAAAGAAAAAGATCATGGCCCAAATAGTATGGTGTGCGCATATTCAAATAAGCGTGCCAATTTTATGAAACTACTTTAGTGGACCTTCACAAGTGTTTACTCAGAAATGGCAAACAACAAGGACGGAATGATCCCCCGATTATGGTGTATGTGCTATGAAGAAACCCCATTGCCATAAACGTCTCCGATTACAAATATGAACCTTATGGCGGTACCCCGGAGTATCATAGTACCCCGGCTCTCGCATAATGTCTGTGATGCAGTCATTTTTAGTCTGTTGATGGTCGGCGATGCGGCAATCGACCCATCTCGACCAGCTGTACTCACGATGCACCACCACGGTGCGTGCCGCGAGCGTTCAGGGTTTCAGCGCACTCGTCCTCGCTGTGTTTCGACATCGTAGAGTTGCACCGATTTCGGATTGATTGGTACCCCAGTCGCGGAGTGAAGTAGCACCCCAGTGTCCCAGAAATAACATATTTAATTGCCTCGGCCATTTAGTATTATTTGGTACCCCGGGGTACCGCCGTAAGGATCATATATCCATCTTGCTAATAATGTCGATTGCTTAGATGAGGAAGTGGTTCTTGGGGATGACATGTATGATGGCTGGAGGCAGTCAAAGGAGTAGACACACCCAAGAGGACGTCCACCACTGAAATGGAGCAATGCAATCCGCTTGTGTGTACGAGCCATATGGAGTGTAGCATCGCAAGGCCATGAAATATCGTGATGGTTTGGGGAGACCTTCATCCAGCAGTGGATAGATCGTGTTTGGTGATTAATAATGGGAAATAGGACAATGCCAAGGTCCTCGTTTACAAATGTAAAACACAACACTAAGATGCAGAAAGAGGAGCGTGTGGATCAGGGAACACATGCAAGCGAAATACATGATATTGACTGTGAATAAAATTTTTTATTGGGCTTGGGCAGGACATATCATTATTTGAAGAGATGATGGCTGATGGATGAGACTGCTGATGAAATGGGAGCCAAAGTGAAGTATGTGCCCAAGGGGCCTCCCACCAAGGAGATGGAATGATGAGATTAGTCCATATGAAGAAGCAAGTTGGATTGTGGAATTACAGAATATTAAGGAATGATGTTCATTCAGCAGTGGATATGAACAGGTTGACGATAAAAAAATAATTTACGTCAACTCTCTGAACCTTTTTTTCATCTGAAATAAGTACGACATGGAGTCAACGTCTTTTAAATCAACGTGAGATTAGCACCACAGGAATGCAAGGCCTGGCCTGTGTTGAATTTCTATTATATCTGCTGGTATAGTTAAAGCCTTTAATTCAGTATCATACGCTGTGGTAAAACATACTGTTGAATGAGCACAGAGCACAAAGTTACAAAAACATTCCCAAAACAACATTGAAAATATGATATATAGGACGTGTTATTTTTTTAGTCAAAGCCAAAGTGGTTCCTCGTTCAAATTGATCAAGTCGTGGCACTCATCTCGCGTGTAAAGCCACAAGCTCGCGAGCCAACCCATTGATCATTTCCCAAAACCGTGGTACTGATTTAATTATCTGTGGCGCGATGACCAGCTGAGTCGACCCCAGGCCAGAATTTGAACTCACACCCTTCCGATTGCAAGCCGCACACAGTGGGCATCATGAATATAGAAATGAACGCAAGCGAGCGATGCAATGTCACACTCCTTTAATCGGCACTGAACAGAAACGTATGTTGTGTCATTGCAGAGCTCCACACGCCTGCTTGGCGCTATGACGTGACATGGCACAAGAGACGGATGGGGGTGGCAGCACTTGATCGGCGGTCTATCTTTATAGGGGGTCTCTGGACTGCACTCCATAAACATTTACAGTGTTCGCCTGTTTTGATCGCAGGCAATTTATGTAACGGCAGGTTGCTAATATGGCGATGAGACCGACAACACTGTGCAATTCTCTTTTAAGCAAAGCATGCCTTTGTATCTTTAATGTGTGCAAGAGAATATGGCATTAAGCCAAAGCTTTAACATTCTTGCCTTTTATCGGACTTGGCCTCTGTGGGGTTAGACTCACAAAGTGGTTTGGCACTCAAGCACAAAAGACAACGATCCCTCTTTTAGCTTTATTGACTGTTCGGACAAGTGCCATTAGCGAGCACCTATTATGGCTGGTAAAACACATCGGGCTGTAGTATGGTAGCAAACGCGATACCCCGCCGATATTTTGATCCAGGAAAAGTTTAAAAACCGACTGGTGTGCATGGCCCAGAATTACGTGTGCTACCGTCCCTTCCACAGTAGAGTAAGACGAAATGTAGCACGCACTCGTCAAAAATACCAACAACAACAAAAAAAACCCCTGCACTTACATAAACCATGAAGTTCTAATCGATACACATACAACACAATTTACGAATGTAAACGATGGCCCCACAAAACGATCCATAGATTAACCGTAACTTTACGAAAGGCGGGCCGCACTGCAAGCGCGCTCACAATAACAACATGGATAGTGCGACGGTGCGCGCAAACGCGAACGAGCCTCGTGGCTTTAGGCTTTGGCCATGCTCAATGGAACAAGGCTATTTTCGCCACCAAACAGGGCGTTGACCTCACCTGGTCTCGCTGCCACGTCTGTGCCCTTGTATTGCGCTGCACAGCTGCACACATCTGCACTCGGTGGGCACGCTGACATTGCACTTTGGTTGTGAAGCCCCTGCTGGGGATATCAATGATCCGCATGTCTCCTTTTGGCAATCAAGCCAGAAATATATTTTTTGTTTAAATGCAATGAGCACACAGTTTTACGTGCTTAGCAAATGATAAACCCCAAAGTGATTTTAATTTGTCCCAAATGGCTTGTTGTATTCATCTGTCAAAGTGTACTATATATGTTCCCATTTCCATATCCATTATTTTCACTGCCGTTTCAAAGGATGGCATGCATTTTACATTATCCATGTTGATTTCAATTCTTATCGAATAAAAGAAATGCAATTAGATGTACAATTGCGATGTTCATCACGATTTATGTTGCGCAAGGAGGTAAATTAGAAATCAGATTTCATATGAACTGGGTCAGATGGGATTGCACACACAATAATTGGCAAACTAAGCTCATTGTGGGAACATATTGAAATAGTTGAATGTTTACAATACAGGACGATGCTTAATTCTGTATGATGATTGTTTACTTTGTAATATGTGGAACAGAGTAACTTTCCCTTTGTACTGTCATATTATTAGGGGTTTGGAGTAAAAGCATCATACTTGAACATTGTCTGATGTTGAATGTTCTCTTCAATATTATAATGTACTTACAATACAAACGTCATCATCAACGTGATGATTTTTTTATTTTAATCATATTGCATAAATGTAGTTATTTATGTCTGATGTTGAATGTTCTCTTCAATATTATAATGTACTTACAATACAAACGTCATCATCAACGTGATGATTTTTTTCTTTTAATCATATTGCATAAATGTAGTTATTTAACCCAAGGCTATATGTTAGGCTATGTGTTGTATTTAAGGTTTAGTATTTATCGTTTGCATAAATCTTCACTCAATATACGGTAGCAATATACAACATAGCAAAGTTTCACATGGGTGACGAGGTTTGGGCATTATTAAATGGGTTGTTTCTACTAAATTATATTTCGCACAATTTCATGGCAGTTTAATTGCAAATCTGCCCTCCAGTGTGACAATGCGTCATTAGACTATGCGGCAGGGGGCATGCGGAGGCAGTGATTTCTGTTCGCTGCATTGTTTGAGAATGATCATGGGACTGCCCTGTTTCATATTAGGAGGTGAAGCTACAAACCACAGCCTGTCAGATACGGGGAAACTGCCAGCCGGCACCGTGCAACAGCTGAGATAAACGTTATTTACAGAATCGCTGCATGGGGGTCGGGACGGATATGGGTTTGTGCCGACCCCAAGCATAGTAGAGTTAGGAATTTGGCTTCTGCTGCCTTTGCATTTTCTTGTTTGGTAACAAGATACATTTGTAATACGAATATCGGTTGTAAATTTCAGAACACTGTGGCCCGTTCACATCCTAAATTCAGCTCTGTCAATTTCCAATAAAAAAATATATCAATACAACAATATAGATACGTCTGTTTGTGTTTCCTCTTAGTCAGCAGTGACTCTTATGCATTGTCTCACACTCTGAAGAAAACATTGTAGCATTGACAGTGTAACGTTTTAAATCGTGAGACACTCCGGCATTTGGTGGCATCTCTGGAGCCAAACCAATTTGCCAAACGCAAATCTGTGAAGGAAGCCCTCCAGCGCAGATCCACGACATGTAATATTACTTTTGGGGAATTAATTATAATTCGTTCCGCAAAAGTAATCAGCTGGCACTGCCCTGGTTAGAGTCAAGAGTGCTCCCCGTCAAAATGACTTTGGGCTCTGAAGAGAAATGGCATGAGAGAGAGACTACAGTGGCTGACACGGGACAAGCTGCCCATGGACCTACCCTGGGGAGTCCCTTAAAAGTCGCCCAGAGGCCAACATCCCCATGGCTGCCTGCAAACCCCTGCGCTGACAGAAAAAGGCTTCTGCTCAGAGACAGACTGCTGAACTTGGGCCCTGCTAAATATAGCTTGTGCCGGGTGCACCGAGAAAGGAAGAGACACGCAGCACGGCAGAACTCGGCAGGCAGAGCCGGTGCTAGCCTTCGTCGTGGTGGCCTGGGCAAGTGACTGAGCACGGCAGGGTTACTTTAAACCCCGTCGAGCCTTTAAAGTTGTTGCTTTTAACGTGTGGGTGTAGTTACATAGGGCATGCTGGAGACACTACATTGGTATGAAGACCAAGGTAAGTCTGAGAGAGAGACAGCTAGTCGTAAGCGTATTGACGAACTGTACGAGCTTGTAAAAGTATTGCCACTTCTCAATGAGTTAAGTAACGCATAATTATTGGCATGTACTTTGAGTGTGTTTGTGTGTGCCTCTAAATTATTTACGGATTTACTTTTGTGCGTGTAATGGGAAATTAAAAGTGATACAATTGACAACTTGAATTTGGCTCTAAAGCAAAATATCAATGTCCCTAATGTGTAATGTCACCAAAATCATATACTGTATTATTGTTACAATGTCAACCGTTGCACGTGGTGCTGCTTTTCAGGAAAGTTGTCCTTTAATAAACAACAATGCACGTCTTTAAATAAAGAGCACCACCAGTGCATTGTAAATCGGCACACACAGCTGCCGGGGGTGGCTATGTTTCTGGTTCAGCGGAGGAGGGAGAGGAGAGCGTTTACAGCCGTTTGATGAAGGCTCAATGCTGCTATGAGGTCATCCCCACCAGCTCCAAGCTCGTGGTGTTTGACACCTCCCTGCAGGTAAGTCAACAAGAACGCCTCTCAACGCCTTTCACCTGCAAAAGGGGCCCCCATCCTGCTGTGCGTCTCAGCAGACGTGCCCAAGGGGTTGTTTGCTGGCGTAGTCTCACATTGTGTGGATAACATAATAGGACACAATAGAAGGCACACGTGAGGTGTACGTTGCTAAGGCAGTGAGTATGGTCAGGTGGGGAAGTGCAGCTGTTGTGTTTCTGACAGCTAGTGGTTCATCTCCTCCAACGTGCGCATTTACAATTGAACCTGTTTGCACTCAATAATAATGAGGATTTTTTTTTGTTTGCTATTATTTACAAAGTAGCGTTTTATAGGAATTATTCATGTTAAAACTGTTTCGTATTGACAATTACATTTTAAGAAACATGTTCTTGGTTGGTGAGTTCACACGAGGAAATGTGCCATTCTGGTAAATTGCCCGATGATGCTGGATGTAATTACAGCGAAACGTCGTACTAAAAAAAATTGAAAATGTTGTGGATTCACTCTTCAACACACCGGTGGGCTAAAGTAGTGAATTATTTGTCTTTTGTCAACGTGACACTTTTTTACTGATTGGCCGTGTCGGATGGTGGAAGGTTACGACACATTTATAAATAACGCGATCTAATCCAAAAACGTTTATTATGAATAATATTGGTCGCGAAAGCCTACGTGTTAAACTGCAGATATTCTTATTTTTTTTGCTGGCCCAAGTTGCACACATTAAAACTAAATAATATAAATAATCATGACATTAAACGACTCTGCCAATAATTAAATTTGAATCACTAATATCGGACATGACGTGTAGTTAGATCGCAACCAGAAAACATAAGTTATTTCATGTAAATGCATACCGTGTTGAAATGTGTTTCAAATTATTTAAATTTAGATAAGAAAACATAGCGCAGATAAACTGTAATGTGGGTTAATCGGTCTCAATTATATTTTGGAAGTGGTGGGATGTTCTACATTGCCGTTGACAGTGAAAGGATCACCTAGGGGACTCTTATTAAGCACCCCGAATCATTTCCATATGTGCCACTCACCTAGAGAAACACGAATAGAATGCAGACATGTATGGGATATTCCATTTTGGGGGACTTTTATTTATTTATTTCCAGAATTTTTCCTCTCAGCTTTTGATAACTAAGAACACCGCCCCAAAACCATAATTGGAAAGAAGCATCATCTGTGATGTGGTTTGGGCTGATATAACCTCGGCTACAACAATGGTGATGATATGTGCCGTCGAGTCTTAGTCCCATTGCCTCTACGGCAGGCAGTCGTGGGTGTTTAATGGATAGAAGTCTGCACATTGAACTCCACAATTGCCCTATTGTCAACTCTCAGCTACTGCCCTCTCTATATTGAGGCTTCAGAATATAGCGCGCATTCAACTCTCCCCTTGGAGCACTGCCTTTACTTTGAGAGGAAAACATCCATGCAAGGCCTCATTTATTTATGTTATTAATACAAATGCAAGATAGGGGGCACACACAGGAAATGCCACAGCCTTGCTGTGAAATGAAAGGAAAAATAACCCCTTATAACCTCCCCCCGTGTCATCGCTGATGTGGATCCAGTTGGCTAATGTACACCAGGCACATTCTGCCTCCAATTATTCGCAATGAAAGGGAATAATGCAGGTCATTAATGTATTTGGCATAACGGGTGAGGTGCACTTACCAAGAGAACAATTCTGCAGCTGCAGGGCTGTGCATTTAAAAGCAGAGGCCACGCACATCCTTACTGCAGGTAAAGCATCCAATAACATGCTTTTTGCCATAATGATGACAAATATTTGAAACACATTTCTATACTAGTTGACATACAGTTGCATTTGGACACTATAAATCAAAATCGTATCGTATGTGTTACTGTATAACCAGTTTCGAGCGTACAGTATAACGCTTATGTAAATCATGTTTTGTAAGCTTTATAATCCAATATCCCGTGATCAACTGCTCGCATAAAATGAAAAACACAACAGAAATTACTTTTAAACAGCGCTTGCTGTGCAACATGAGAGGGAGTAGATTTACTTATTTAATCCGGGCATATACTAATCATTTACAGATCACAAAAGACACACAAACATGCGGTTAATTCAATTACTGAGCATATATACCGCAGATTGCAATAACACTCTTACGAATCGATTTCCAGTGTTGCTGGATCCTGTGGTTTTTTCCAAATTAAGTTTTTTTGACAATTCTAATTCCCTTTACGATTTTTATTTTCTCTAGTTATAACAAAACTGCGTTCTGCTCAAAATATTAATGAGAAATCTTCATATTAAGCCCATCTCATCCACCGATTTTAACAAACAGTAAATTCTTACTTTTTCAAAGCCAATAGCATTTTAAACAAAAGGACAAATGTTTCGAGAATACGCACAGACTGCTCAAATAATGATATTCATGTATTTTTGAAAGTGGTAAAAGTTATATATTCTACAGCAACTCTCATTGATCAGACTGCCTTACTTTTCAATATCCGTTTCATTTTACAATGCACAAGGCTTTCAAGTCAAACAATATTACCCACCAATTTAATGCAACACAAGTTGAAAAATGGAGGAAAGCGGGCAAAAGACAAATTGTAGGTGGTAGATGAATTCGCATTGAAACGAGGGCTGCTGCCAATGCAGATAGAACAGAGAGAAGGGAGGCCAGGACAAAAACAGAACAAAGATCACACTTTTGTGCACGCAAAACAACACCAATCACAGACTGTGCAATCACATTGCTTCTTATATATTTTTTTTTACATTCCAACGAGCAGATTGTGGCCACGACAGAGCCACGGGCCCAAAAAAAACACACATGCAACGGGTTTCTGCTGCACGGGCTATCGGGTAAACGCCAGGGGCTCACAACGGCGGCTCGGGCCAACATGACCGCATGCACCTTGCCATCATCAGGCGTTGCTGCGGGCTGTCCGTGACAGGCAGCGTGGGCGGCCTGGTGTCGCGTGTAATGTGCATGGAATGTAGGTTAAGAAGGCCTTCTTCGCCCTGGTGGACAGTGGCGTGAGGGCGGCACCGCTGTGGGACAGCAAGCTCCAGACGTTTGTGGGTAAGGCAATGTGTGGCCTGAGAATTGAACGAGGGCAGAGACTGTGAGTTGATTTGATCTGTTTTGCCAATTTTCCCCGGATATTTTACAAGGGTGCAGTGAGCACAGCAGCAACAACAAAACAATGACAAAAAAAGTACGTTAATATTGCTGAGAACGAGTACAGGGCCCTCACGGAATATTGCACAACTAACAAACGAGGAATTTAACGGGCGTAAATGAAACGCAAATCAAAAAGAGAGACGGTGCGACATGATGTGATAGCAAGAGGCGCCAGAGGCATGAGTAGATTGGGTTACAGGGGTGCAAGGTTAAAGGTTGCTCTTAAGCGTGAATGCTTTTGATTATTTTTGTGAGGCTGACTTAGAACATAACCTTTCCTTTTTTAAGAAACGTAAAATATACTTTACATAATCATCATCACGAGCCTTTCGCCCGACACTCCTTTGTATCCAGGCTTGGGACTGGCTAAGATACCCACTGGATTATGGACCCTCGAGGCAGAGATCATTTTACGCAATTTTTTAAAATTAAAATTGTTATTTAATAATGAACTGTTACAGACAGTAATCTCTCCAGTTGATGCCTTTTCCGTCAGCAGTGGCGTGATAAAAGAAATTGCAGACCTGCGCCTATGAAGGAGAGTGTGTACAATGACAGGTTAGAAAAGGTCAATGCACTAAATAAACATTGATATCTCCACTGGTAAAACGAATTAATTATATCTATCCAAACCACCTGCACAGTTAGCTTATTTGGTAGCAATACTGCTTATCTCGTCACCCTGCCTGCTCGTACCTTCTCTATTTTGCATTTTATTTACATTCAGCATTCGTATATATTCGTACACAAATCGGCCTATACTTTTCCTGACATTATATACGAGTCATTACTAACTTTTGTCTGGACATCCTTGTACATTGGCACTAAATAAAACAAATATATATTTTTTTCGTGTTTGTGAAAATATATATATAACTTGATTGCAGTTAAATTGCTGAAATATTTTCCTGATTCTATTAATTGAATGAGCGCTAGATGGAATGCAGGTAAAGATATTTGGAATGAATGGCTTGGCACTCCAGTTGACTTGTGCTTTACCTGAGCTCATATCCCCACCTTGGCATCTCAAAGTCTGATGATGTGTTGGTAAAACATTATCATCACTTGAGACGCGAAGGCATTATCGAGGAGCACATCAGTTCTTAACATCCCATCTTCACTGCGGGAACAACAAGTCACAGAAAACATCCCTCACAAGCAGGCCACTGAGCCTGCATGTTTTACCATACAGTACATTCCTGTACATGCTATTGCCCCACCAATTCAGTGGGGTTACCCTGTACACAAATATATTATTATTTAGCATTCCCTTTGCAGAAGGGTTGTACATCTCAACCATTTTCTTTGAAGGCGAGCACTCCCAATGCTACACGTTCTCCGTAAGCCTGAGTGTGGTGTGTGCATGGTTAACGTGCCACGCATGTCGCAGCACGGACACAGGGCACGTCCATCTGCGGATCAAGGAAAGCAGACAGGTGCTGTATTAACGAGCCAGCTTGGCTATAATCAGAACACGGGGGCCGGGTATAAATGGCAGGGCACTGAGTGGCGTGAGCAGCTGACAGCTTGAGTGTTTGTATCTGACGTAGTAAACAGCTCACAACCACCTCCTTCTACGATAACACGTCCCCTATTTCTGCCGCCCCACCCTCGCCCCTAAGGAAAAAAAATACGGAATGTAGCCAGCATCTTGGAATTCAAGTGAAAACTATGGCTAAATTTTGTTTTCAGGTCAATACATTGGCCAGCATGTATCAAATTCTAAGAGTCTCTGCTCTAATAAATCACTTGCTGTGCTGTAATTGAGCTGGCGTGCTAAACTTTATTCATTTACAGACATGCCACATACAGAATAATATTTGTGCATTTTGTTGTTGGGAAATACCTATATACATACGGTATAAGGCCCTGGATCGGTGGTGATCAATCAACTTCAGTGCGAAAAAATTGTGACATAATCTCGGAAATGACTGAAATGTAGGGCCTCGTTCATATATCTTTCACCTGAGCACATTCTCAGTTAAATCAATCATTATTTATTTATAGTTAATACTGAGGGAATTGAATTTATACAGTGAGGGAAAAAAGTATTTGATCCCCTGCTGATTTTGTACGTTTGGCCACTGACAAATAAATGATCAGTCTATAATTTCAATGGTAGGTTTATTTGAACAGTGAGAGACAGAATAACAACAAAAAAATCCAGAAAAACGCATGTCAAAAATGTTATAAATTGATTAGCATTTTAGTGAGGGCAATAAGTATTTGACCCCTCTGCAAACATGACTTAGTACTTGGTGGCAAAACCCTTGTTGGCAATCACAGAGGTCAGACGTTTCTTGTAGTTGGCCACCAGGTTTGCACACATCTCAGGAAAGATTTTGTCCCACCCCTCTTTGCAGATCTTCTCCAAGTCATTAAGGTTTCGAGGCTGACGTTTAGCAACTCGAACCTTCAGCTCCCTCCACAGATTTTCTATGGGATTAAGGTCTGGAGACTGGCTAGGCCACTCCAGGACTTTAATGTGCTTCTTCTTGAGCCACTCCTTTGTTGCCTTGGCCGCGTGTTTTTGGTCATTGTCATGCTGGAATACCCGTCCACGACCCATTTTCAATGCCCTGGCTGAGGGAAGGAGGTTCTCACCCAAGATTTGACGGTACATGGACCCGTCCATCGTCCCTTTGATGCGGTGAAGTTGTTCTGTCCCCTTAGCAGAAAAAACACCCCCAAAGCATAATGTTTCTACCTCCATGTTTGACGGTGTGGATGGTGTTCTTGGGGTCATAGGCAGCATTCCTCCTCCTCCAAACACGGCAAGTTGAGTTGATGCCAAAGAGCTCCATTTTGGTCTCATCTGACCACAACACTTTCACCCAGTTGTCCTCTGAATCATTCAGATGTTCATTGGCAAACTTCACACGGGCATGTATATGTGCTTTCTTGAGCAGGAGGACCTTGCGGGCGCTGCAGAATTTCAGTCCTTCACAGCGTAGTGTGTTACCAATTGTTTTCTTGGTGACTATGATCCCAGTTGCCTTGAGATCATTGACAAGATCTTCCCGTGTAGTTCTGGGCTGATTCCTCACCGTTCTCATGATCATTGCAACTCCACGAGGTGAGATCTTGCATGGAGCCCCAGGCCGAGGGAGATTGGTAGTCCTTTTGTGTTGCTTCCATTTGCGAATAATCGCACCAACTGTTATCACCTTCTCACCAAGCTGCTTGGCAATGGTCTTGTAGCCCATTCCAGCCTTGTGTAGATCTACAATCTTGTCCCTGACATCCTTGGAGAGCTCTTTAGTCTTGGCCATGAAGGCCATGGTGGAGAGTTTGGAATCTGATTGATTGATTGCTGCTGTGGACAGGTGTCTTTTATACAGGTAACAAGCTGAGATTAGGAGCACTCCCTTTAAGAGTGTGCTCCTAATCTCAGCTCGTTACCTGTTTAAAGGACACCTGGGAGCCAGAAATCTTTCTGATTGAGAGGGGGTCAAATACTTATTTCCCTCACTAAAATGCAAATCAATTTATAACATTTTTGATATGCGTTTTTCCTGGATTTTGTTGTTGTTATTCTGTCTCTCACTGTTCAAATAAACCTACCATTAAAATTATAGACTAATCATTTCTTTGTCAGTGAGCAAACGTACAAAATCAGCAGGGGATCAAATACTTTTTTCCCTCACTGTATCTCTGAAAATGAAACTCACAAAGACTGATGTAGCAAAAAAAGTTAACTACTAACCAACTTATATCAACTAAATTTTAAATTGACCTGTAAAATGTAAATACATACTTCGTATATGTGTCAGCCAAGAACATTGGGGTGGGTGATTTCCAGCACCTTCCATATGCAATTCTTGCAGGGATGCTCACAATCACAGACTTCATCAACATCTTGCACAGGTACTACAAGTCGCCGATGGTGAGTAACCGCCGTTTTGTTAAATGAACAACAATTGATATTCTGTATCCAGTGCTATTCTGGCAATACTGTAAAACTAACCTTCCTAATTGGTATATTTTAGGTCAGGCATGTATGCATTTTTATTAACATATATAGTATATACAGTATAAGTATATACGGCTGTCACACTCAACATATAAAAGACTATAACGAATGGCGTGAATAATTTAGAACAGGCGAAGCTCTGCTCCTGTTGATATTAAAGTCCATGTGAGCTGTGCTTCATCGGTATGGACAAAGCAGCGTGGCACTGTTGTAGAGTATTAGGAGTGAAATAAAACCCCACGGCAGGCTCAGGTAATAGGGGTGATTGACTTGCACCTTCTCGTGGCACTCGCTCTGAGGGCTGTGGGTAAAAAGTGTGTGGGAAATGTGCTGCTGCTGCTACTGCATCAGTTGCTCCTGCTGGCTGATTAACGTTCCTCCTCTCTCCTACATAGGTGCAAATATATGAACTTGAAGAGCACAAAATAGAAACATGGAGAGGTAAACCCGCAGTGAAAATACAGCACGAGAAATTCCTGACCTTTAAGTTCCACACCCCCCCCCCCGCATGACATTTTAAAGTGCTTTTAGTGCCGATGTTATGCCCCCCACCTCCATCACTGTAATGTTTGTGATTTTACAAATGCTTCACTTTGTTTTAGCGGCGCATTTGGAGCGATACACCTGCCTCTGACATATCCCTGTGTTCGAATTCTAGAGGTGTATCTGCAGGACTCGTTCAAGCCCCTGGTCAGCATAACACCAGAAGCGAGGTGTGTACATAATACAAGCGAATGATTGGCTGCAAATTGCAACTTACAGCAGCAGCATGATACTACAGCACATGCAGTATTCACAACAGGTGTCTGCTATCGAGACAATGCACTGCACCTGTATCCAGCGAAGCAAACAATTCACATCGTCATGATTGCTGACAAGTTGAAAACTATTTTTAAAATAGAGCACTGTACTGTACGGTATGTTAAATGTGACAATTCCAAATTATTATATTGTTTCAAAATGAATTGAGCAAAGGCTAAACAAATATAGTGATCTTCTTTGGTTCTTTCGGTAAAGTCACGTAGAATGAGAATAAAATTATAAATTAATAAAATAAAATAACACAATTAAATTCTCACGACGTTTCGGCCACAACACAAGTGGCCTTCTTCAGGTGAAAGGAACAGACCTGTCGGGACGACAGAGCTATATCGAAAAATATAGTGATGTCATGTGAAGTGTGTAATACGTTCTTGTGCACAAATATACAAGATAAAAGAGCATGAAACAATTTTCGAGTGTATACAATAACAAGTAAAAAAAAGGTCAATACATTAAATGAACATTGATATCGCCACTGATAAAAACAAATTAATTATATCTGTCTAAACCATAGAGTTCCTCTCTCTGATGAATCGCTTGTGTTTCCCGATTCTGTCTCGTATGCCACAGCCTGTTTGATGCCGTGTACTCCCTCATTAAAAACAAGATTCACCGGTTGCCCATCATCGACCCTGTCTCTGGAAACGTCCTCTACATCCTCACGCACAAGCGCATCCTCCGCTTCCTGCACCTCTTTGTGAGTCCTGCCGTGCGCCGTGGGACAGTCAATCATGAGTACGGTTACAGCTTTCCACTAGATTGGCATTTGTTATCATTTAAATAAAATCAACAGCGTATTGGGCATGTAGGGATTAAATATTTTCCATGCAGGGATTCAATCTTTTCCATTCCATTCCCACGTCGATGTTTAAGGAAATATTCACGATTTAAATGTCGCGATTCAATTCGACATTAGTAGGTTTTTTTAGCCATATTTTTACTGTGTTATTGGTAGTGTTTTGTTCATTCTGCCTCGTGTGTATAATGTTGCTCACACCGATATAAATTGTTTTGCACAAATCCTGAATGAATTGTCTTACAATTTGAATGAATTAATTGATGCATCGTTAAATTCCCAGTGCATCCTTTTCACTCAAACTTCACCATTACCTTGTATGATATGTATAATGTGAGTATATATTGCACCCAAATAATTTTAATGTCTATTTGCAGAGGCCAACATACATGCGATGTGCATTGAATTGTAAATGTTGTAATGCAGTTAAGATAAACCCACGTGAGTTGTAGGTTATACATGATTAGCAAATAGACCAAACATTTGCTTCCATTTTTCACCAACACCAAGCTGACAATGTCCCCCATGGCAGGATTGCACATTCCTTGGATATAAGGAATGGTCATAAGATACATTAATATTAAGCGCCTTTAAACAATGTAATCAGGCCACAGGTACACTAGTGTGTTCCAGAGATTGGGGTTTTAAAATTGTCTAAATCAGTTATGCCTTGTACCAACGTAAGGACATTAAACACTGTCATAGGGCCATTACGCATCCAATAGAGACTAATGTTAACTTAACACATGCGTTTTTCGTAGCCAATAGAGTACAGTATTACGATTGATAAAGTGTTGCCCCCCTCGCGCTACATGGTCTTTTCCCGAGGTGCTCCAGTTTCCGCCCGCGTGTATGAGCAGGAACTTTAAAAAAAACGAGTAAATAAAGTGGATGCACATTGCGGTGATGGTATTTTGCATCGGCGACATTAAAGAGTTGACCATCGATGACAACAGATTTCCGAGCTGCCGAAGCCCCGCTTCATGTGCAGGCCGCTGGGAGAGCTGCGAGTGGGGACGTTTAATGACATCGCATTCATCTACACGGACACGCCAATCATCACGGCCCTCAACCTGTTCGTGGAAAGGAGGGTCTCGGCCCTGTCTGTGGTGGACCAGTCTGGTATGTCACCGTCCTCCATCAACAAACGTGCAATCTCCACCTGTTATGTGATAAGCATTTATCGTTACACACCGCGTTCCCCCCCCCCCCCCCCCCCCCTGCACTCCCTGCCCCATCGAAAACCATATAATTATCCAATAGAGTGGCATGCATGTTCTATAGGTGCATTTTTAAAGGCGGGACACATTTCAGGCCCGTTGGACTTTATCAGTGTGGCTGAATTTATATAACGTCATTGTCAAAAGGGCTTGTTTTTTTTATTTGCATGCACTGTGTAATGTTTGTAATGTTTGCTTTTTGATATAATTGATCTGTTATGCTAATAAATAGAGAAGTATTCAGCTAATACATTATTTATATGCCAATTTTTATAATTGTCATGAGTGGTTGGTATTTTAAAGCAATGTTTATAAAAGTATTGACAATTTTATTGTCTTTTCTGCTCTAGGGAGAGTGGTGGATGTTTATTCTAAATTTGATGTAATAGTAAGTATATGTATATGTTATTCATATTTCAACACAAATAATAATTTATATTTGTAAATAATCCATAGAAAGTATGGTGGACCATTCTGAACGATTTATGTAGAGCACACAGAGTTAGGATAAAACAAATTGGAATGCACCCCTGCAAATTATATTGATTAGTCATTCTTGGCTGTGCTGATCATGAATAAATCATATTAATATACCAATATTTCAATTTTCATGAATATGTTTTTTCTTCTAGCATTTCATTCAATGGTTTTGAATGCAGTGTAGTTTAGATGCGTAACACATGCAAACATTTGACCTCGGAACACTCAGCGGCATGAAGCATGTCGGGTCCGTTTACACACATTTGTATAAAAAAATATATATCAGCGATTTAATAAATAAAAATAACGGCGATGTCCCTGGTATTATCTACCATTAACTCCGACACATACGACACAGAACCTGGCGGCAGAGAAGAACTACAACAACCTGGACGTGACGGTGACACAGGCGCTGCGGCACCGCTCGCAGTACTTCGAGGGCGTCGTCAAGTGCCACCGACAGGAGTCCCTGGAGACCATCATCGGCCGCCTCGTGCAGGCCGAGGCAAGCCCCGCCAAACAGCTCGCTCAGCAGACACGGGGCCCAGATATCGTGGTTCTGCCCACATCACGTGGGCCACCCATATCAAAATGGACATTCAGGGCACAATGGGACCACGTGTAGCACATGGGCCTCCCAAAGCGTATGGGACACCCATATCACGTCGTAAGCCCATATCAAGTAGGCTACCCATTGGACGCAGGCAACTCATAACCCATGGCCCAGTCCTGGCACATGGGCCATCCATAGCTTATGGACCACCTGTAGTAATGTGGCCATTCTCTGTAAGATGGCCATCCATAGTAAATGGTCCACCTTGAGAAATAAAACAGATTAGAGGGTCTGCTAAATGTCCATCGACCATTTCCTATAGTCTTGTGGACCACCACTGGTTTGTGGACCCCAGGTTAGTAGCCACTGGCCTATGGCACATGTGCAATGTAAGTTGACAGGCTCAGATTGGGACTCATACCACACATACAACACTCATGATTACGCAGACATCAGCATTAAGCCTTGGAGCTCCACAATGTTGAAATTAGCTATAAATCAAACTACATTCACAGTCATGTATATTTGTATACTCTTCTTTATTTTAATTTTTAAGCATACAGTGTTTTTTGCCACCATCAATTAAAAACCCAACAAGTGTCCAGCCAATATTGCATAATTCGCGATTATTCACTGTAAACCAATTACGTAATTAATGATGCAGTAATAAAATTAAGATGACATTTGCGTCACGTTTCAAAAGAATACTACATTTTCAATACAACAATGAATGCAATTACACGAGTTTACCTTTAGAGGCAACCTACACTGCATTGCATGACCCAGCTGTACCTCGATCGCCGCTTGTTGGAGAATGTCACAGCGTGAATCCGGAAGGGCAGTGGTTATGAATGCGGGTGTATTCACCATAATTACGCACTTCACAGTGAACGTTAACGCTCCCAAAAAAGTAATTATGTATGAGTAGCCCATTACGTGACAGCGTCTTGTACCGAGTTTGCCAAATTCGGATAATTACCTGAAAATAGACCAATTGAGATTAAATATCGCAATTATTACCTCTTACTGGCAGACTCATGCCCCCTTGCAGGCCAGTGGTGAGCCACCTTCTGAGCACAGGGACAGCTGCCACTGGAAGTGGCCTTCGAATGTTGCAGATTACGCAATTTAAAGTGCTTTGAGCTGCTCAGACATGGAAGCGCCATGCATTTGTTTAAGATTATAAAAATTATAATTATACCCATGGAACACCATTTAAGTATAGATATGTATAATGTATTAATATTTAAACATACAAATACCTTCAAGTGGGTAAATGTAAATTTAGATACATTATTTATTTTGAAATGTACTCCCAGGAAGCGCAGTTGCATTGCATTTAGGGCATGCAATCATAGTTATTATTTAACTTTGAACCTTTAAAATGAACATTAATATTTTACAACATTGGTATTCCTTTAATGCAAAAAAAAACGTCTTGAGTTGAATAATTTCCCCCCCCACATGCAAAATACTCCTTGAAAAGGTAATGGCTATTGCAGCACCCCTATGAAAAAAGAATCAGTCCTAAGACTTAGTATAGCTTCCCTGGATAAATAAAAGAGAACTCTAAAATAAAGATAACTCTTTCTATTATTTATTTTATTTTATTTCTACGTGACTTTACCGAAAGAACCAAAGAATAAAGATAACTCTATCATAATTCCTGCTGAAGCAGTGGCGCAATCGTTATCCCACTGTGCTATGAACCAGGCAGCCTGAGCTCAGCTTCAACCCATGACTAACACCTGTGGTCAGTGATATCTGAACTGGTCCTCCGGGCTCTGTCACCAACCTGCAATGACCAGCATGGTACATATGGTCAAAATAACCACCGAGAGTGGCACAGCATAGGGTGGCCGATGTTGTTCTGGGTGATAAACAATTCCTGTTGGTGATAAACAAGTCATGAGCACATACCACTATCTCCTTCAGTCTGGGCCAGTGATTATCCAGTGACCACGATCCACATATCCTTTGCTCTGCAGGTACACAGGGTGGTGGTCGTGGATGAGAATGACCGGGTGGTGGGCATCCTCTCGCTCTCGGACATCCTGCAGGCCCTCATCCTCACTCCGGCTGGCGTGGATGCCCTGAACAGCTAATCTCAGCCAGAGCCACTTCAGCTACAACTCTCATAGCCAGGTGACAGCTCCAGGTGTCTTTACTTGCAATCAATTAACAATTATGATTTTTATTCAGGAGAGAGTCCACTGAAACAACACATATCTCGCTCTAAGTCATGTTTTAAATCAGTTATGATAATTATTCGTTATTCATAGATACTGTTATTCCCACGTAGGACCACAAGGGACATCAATCATGCGGGGAGGCTTATTGGTCGAATTCAATACGCAATGGCTGATTTAGCATTTATTTAGTCAATACATTGCATGTGACAGGAGGTGAAAGTCAAAGCAAAACAAAACACAAATAAATAAGTAAAACGTAAATGAGAGAAATTGTGTTCGATTGCTTTAATACTGTACATTATATAAAAGGTATAATGACTAATGATTACTGTACTTTGATAATATTAAATGCCATCTGGCTATTGCGATTCCCCTTTTCCATATATACTGCAATGTGTAATTGACTTCATCATATTATTTGTAATGCCTAGGGGCTATGTGCTTAAGGACGTTTCGGTTATATTATTTATATTTAGAAATGTATATTATTTCTTGCAGATGGGTGCAAGACAGCTACTTCCACTGCAGTCAAGTTGGAAAACAACGTCTGCAAAACATTCACGCTTGCACACTGCTCATGGGACTTGAAGCTTCACAGAATGCAATGCAAAGACTGCACTTGGAAACTCAGACGTGAAATCTGGAAACGTCTTATCCTGGTCCACATGGACAAGGTGTGACCACATTTGATTGGGCGACAGCATCCCCACAGAAAGAGCAACGATCTCTCGTGTAAACTGTACATTTTATATGTTATAAAATTTTCTATAGTCTGAAGCTGATATGCGCTATGATTTTGAAAAAAGGGGGATTTATTTATTATGTTCTCATAGGTTTAAGTGACATTGTATGAATTGAATTTCCCATAATACTGTATTTAACGTTTGAAAGCGCAGTGCTTAGGAGAGGTACAAACAAAATGTGTTATTTATTGCTAGGGAGCGCTTTCAAGCCAGCTGCTAAGGTGTGCATTGGCAAGGTCGCATTGTTCCTAGCATGTTTACATCACATGACTCATTAAAGAAAAAGGTTCACGATTTCAAAAGGGTGTTTATTTATGTTTCATTTATTTTGCGTTTTAGTCCCTAAATCCTCACTCCCACTTTTTTTTTGCAATCTAGAATTTGCGAACAAAGTACTGCAAAGCCTTTTGATTTAAAGCTTCCGTGACTGCAGGGATTCATATTATTGGTTCTTTCGGTAAAGTCACGTAGAAGGGAAACAATACAAAAAATAAAAATATAAAACAATATTGTTTCATATATTGTTTTATATAAACAATATTGTTTCATATTTTTATTTTTTTTATTGTTTCCCTTCTACGTGACTTTACCGAAAGAACCAAGAATACTGCAAAGCCTATCAGGAATCCAGCTCAGTCCTGAGATGGTATCGATCCTTGGTTTGTTGGTTCTTAGGTTGTGGGTGTATAGTCAGTCTGGGGGATATAATTTCTGAAAGACAAGTCTATCCATAAAACAGTGGTGTGAGTATGTAACAAGCCATTCTTATTGCTTTGTCAAGACGTCCTATTATATTGTCTTCGAGATTACATGCCACGTATATAACGGGGTTTTTGGGCAACCCGCACATATTTTTTTAAAGTAAAAACTACATATTGCCCTCCCAAAACGCAGCCATTAAACAGCATGCAAGGCACCGCTGACTCGTGTAGCTGCGTCTCCTCGCTGCTTAGAGACGTCGCGTATCAGGCAGTTCCAATGTAGTTGTGTGCTTGTTGGTTATTTGTACGATACCTTTAAATAACATTGCCACAAGCTGTAAATATGGTGCATTTGATCTTGATGCAAATATAGGGCAGCCTAGCATCACGTACTAGCCCGGCACATACATATGTATGTAAGTTGATCTTATTAATGGGAGTATATGAAGGTGTGTTGAATGTCTGCAAGGGCCCAGAGCACTACGAGTCTACTATTTTGCTAGCGAGGCAGTTAGAATTTGGAGATTAATTCGCAGTTATGAAACTTAAAAATGAATACACCAGCAACTGATACCAATGTGTTCCAGCAGAGTTCAAATTCACTGTGGTGCAGCATGCAAAGCAGTTGCGTGCTCAGAAACAAATAAATTGTGACATCAGTGATTGTGTGTTTTTTTTATATTCGCACGTGACTCAATGATGCATCTTGGAGAATCAATAAAAGAATACAAGGTTTATAAGATGGCCTATTGAAATATGTACCGAAATATATGAAAATGAATTCCAAAAACTTTTCAAACAATTCTGAAAATGTTCATTCTGGCCCAATGAGCATTCAGGCAGTGCTCATTTCCTATTTACAGCCCTGAGCCGGTGGTGGAAATTCCACATTTCTCTGGTGGAGGTAATCAACCACTTTTGACTTGGCAGCAAAGATACACTATTTATTTGACGATGCTGCTGCTGCTGCGTTAGCAGTGTGCTCTAGCATAAATAAAAAAAAAATCAATACATTTGTCAATGTATATATGCATGTTGAACTTCTTTCACGCCGTACATAACCAACCTTGACAATGTTAGGTGTGGGGGGAGGACAACATACGATACATAAAAATCACTTGGAAAGAAATTCGTTTTCAATCTAGATTTTTAAAATGCATCGCACTGCCTTAAAAGGTAAGTCTATGATAGGCAATCTGTCTGGCATTGGCCCTTCATTGTACAATTTTGGAATTAATGCATCGAATTCAGAGGGTTCACGTGCTGAATCAACCCCTAACCCGGATTTGATCTCCCAACCTTCCAGTTGTGCGTCGCTCGACTCAACCGCGGAACATCCAGGTCGAAATTATAAGAACATCTTTATTTAGATCAGTTGAGTTCACAATCCCACGTACTGTTATAGATTTAGGGAAACTGCAGTCGTCGGATAAACGAGAAATAATGGTATTAAGTCTCTCACAAAATAGGAGCGGACTTTGTGAACTGCCCATTACAGGTTTCCCCTCTCTCTTTGTGCGGTGGATGTGTTCACAAAGCGAAACCACACGAGGCAGCTGCCTTCGAGTGGTGCAATACAGCACACACACAATGTTGTCGTACATCAGACCTCATAGCCGTATATGAGTGAATTCAAACCGCATACTATAGGTTTAGCAGCATCTACGCGAAATCGCACAAACAGAACCCGCATAAAGCGAAACCTGTATGACCACATTCTAAGCATTACTTAGTAATAACAAGTAAATGTTATCGCTGTACAGCAGCTACTTTATTCATAATCGGTTTCCTTCGGGCTAGATCGTGTAAGTGCAATGGCAATTTGATCTATAGTCCTCCAGCACCCGACAAAGCCAAGCAAAAATCAAGTTGTCACGGCGGGCAAATGTCCCAATTGATTACGTGCTTCGGCAGCTACGCGTGCACAAATTACTCTTTGATACTCACTTCAAGGACGGAACTCGCGAACATTGTTAATGAGTGGCGAGATCGAGTGACGATAAACAAACACATGGGAAATTCCGCGGACGTCTTGTGTCGGTGGTAACTTGAACCCCAAGATCCCTTCGCTTTCGTCTCAACAGACTGCTGGGGAAAGTTGCTGTCGGCGAGCAGCTCCGATTCCGCCCCGCACCCTCCGATTAGCGCGGTTGGCTACGTACGGTGCGAAAAAAAAAGTTCACCGTACATTCGTATTAAGGCCGGGCACGGCACACGACGGGGATGGGTGGCCACAACACCACGCCCGGCCACCTTTGCTCTCGCTCGTGGCGATCTTTACACGTCGCAACAGGTACTCATTTGAGGCCGAGTCGACCTAGTGGAAGTCTAGGACCGGTTTGGATAATCGTCACCCAACGTTGGCCGTGAAGCGACAATGGAACTCGGCGTGGCGGGGTTCGCAGCGCAGCGCTGCCCCGCCGTGAACCCAACACGAAACGCGCGCGTTTAGGGTGAAACGCGCGCGTTTAGGGTGAAACGCGCGCGTTTAGGGTGAAACGCGCGCGCTTCCCATGGCAATCGTTTACGACTCCGCTTCCTTGCAGACTTCTGCTGCGCCCCTTTCCCTGTGTTTGGCTCATCGCTCGGAGCCACACGCGGCGAGCAGCAGTTTGGATCATCCAGAGAGGCGAACACGTGCGCGGCGCAGCGACGTTGTGCGTGGGGGACATCGACCCCCCACCACACACACACACACACCCCTATTCCCTGGCTGACAGCCTGCAGTGGTGATGATACCTCCACACTTAATCACACACACACAGGAGTCGCAAAGACGAAGCCAGTGCTGCCGATGAACCTGTTATCTGCGTCACCTGAGCGACTGCGCATGAACCCAGCACGTGTCACACCTTGCGCACCCGTCAGCCTTTCACTGCAACGACGCCGTGCAGCGCGGCCACGCGCGGCAGCCACAGCCAAGGAGCCGCCACGTGCCCGATCCTCCTGCTCCTCCTGCTCCATCACCTCATCCTCCTCCATATCCAGCGAGCTCCGTGAGCCTGTGGCGAGGAGGAGGAGGGTGTGGGTGGGTGGGTGGTAGGGGGTGGGGGGTAGAGTTCCCCGCCGCCGCCGCGGCGCAGGATACCACCAACTCCGGAAGCGAAGGGCGAGCCGACCATGGGCACCGGCAGCTCCAAGGCGCCGCCGCAGCACCTGGAGCGGACGAGCGTCGCGCACACAGGCGGCGTGAACTGCATGAGCGCCGGCGAGGACGGCTCGGCGCTGCTGCTCACGGGCGGCGAGGACGGCTCGGCGGCCCTGTGGGACGCGGAGGCCCCGCAGGGCCAGGGTCGCCGGGCCACGCTGCGTGGCCATGAGGGGTACATCACGCACTGCGCGCTCGCCGCCGACGGCGCCCGCGCGTTCACGTGCTCCGCGGACCGCACGGCTCGCTGCTGGGACGTGCAGAGCGGCCACTGCCTGCAGGTGTACCGGGGCCACGCGGGCGTCGTGAACAGGGTCGTGCCGCACGCCGGGTGGCTCTTCAGCAGCTCGTACGACAAGACGGCGCGCTGCTGGGACACGCGCACCGGGGACGCGCTACGCGTCTTTGCCGGCCACAGGAGCTGCGTGCTGCCCCTGGCCTTGTACTGCCCTACGGGGCAGCAGCAGCTACGACAGCGCGAAGGGCATGGACGGGGAGCGTCAGGAGGATCTGAAGGATCGAGGAAATCTGGGGGAGCAGAGCGGCAGGTGCGCGCGGACGCGGTTGCGCGCTCCTCGCCCAAGTCCAGAAGTTCCACTTTCATCCTGGAGGTGCGCAGAGCTGATCCCGGGGACACCAACATCGCGTCCTCGAAACCCACACCATCGTCGTCACCGCCATCATCATCATCACCACCACCATCAACAATAGCACCATCGTCAGCGTCGTCGTCGTCGTCATCTTCATCGAACCCAAAGGGTGAGAGGAGGAGCTCATCGGCGGCTCTAGCCGCCCTGGAGGAGAACACCACGCTGCTGCTGATGTCGGGGAGCGTGGACGGCACCGTGCGCCTGTGGCGGCTGTCGAGCGGTGCCTGTGCGCGCACTTTGAGGGGACACCAGGGCCCCGTTCTGTGCCTGGCCGTGGACGCCTCGAACGGCGCCCTCTACTCGGGCGGGGCGGATGGGACGGTGCGCAAGTGGGACCTAAGCAGTGGGCAGCAGCTGCGCTCCTACACGGAGCACACCGACCTGGTCATATGCCTGCAGGTGAGGGCTTCTGAGCATGGTCTCAAGGCTTACAGGTGAACGCCTCGAGGCAAGGCCACGTGGTTGCCGGTGAAGACTTCAGGACGTGGGTCTCATCGTTACAGGTGACGCATGTAGACGCGGTCTTAAGGCCTGTAGCTGAGGACCTCTGAGCCTGGTCATGTGCCTGCAGGTGTGAGATGCTCTACGTGGTCATGCTGTTTCAGTTGAGGGCTTCGACACACGGTGTTATGGTGAGAGGTGATGGCTTCGAAATATGGCCACATGGTGTTTGGCAGGTCAGGCAGGGCTTTTACACCGACGCTGCACTCATATGTCTGTGGACTTCTCAGCCTGGTCATGTGTCTGTAGGTGATAGCGTTTAAACCTCTTACTTTGTCCACAAATGAGCCTGCAAGTGAAAATTAATCACACCTGGTAACATACCACGAGGTGAAAAATGACTCAACACATTCCTTAATGACTCTGCCTGAAAAGGAACATCACAATATATAACAGGCAATGGTTCACGCAATGGACCGTCTCCAGAGCTATGTGTTTAGTTTTTGTTTGTTTGTGTTTATGCATCACTGTCAACGCAAATATCACCAGGTCTTCAATACATACACGTCTGTATACAAGTGATGGTGTCATGACCTGGTCATAATCCTATAGTCATGGGCTATTAATTTGGTCATATATCTACAGGTGAGTGTATCTTGAACTGGTCATACAGCTACAGAGAGGAGTGCGAACCCGATAGCTATTTTGCATAATAGCTCGTTACGAGCTGCCATATAAGAACGTGGAGCGTATGCTTGTGTCTTAAGCGTGTTGCTCTTTCAAGTAACATCTGGAAACACGGCAAGATTTGTTTTAGAGTCGTGACTGCTGATGATGAGACTCAGAATGCTGAAACCAGTCCAATTTTTTTTCCTAACTAAATGCGTACAGCTGTAAAACATTTGTCCAGAAGTTAAAGACGTTGGTGTCTCTTTGTAAATAAACCCTCAGCTGGTCTGCACTAACGTTGCGATGTAACTCGGAGAATAAGACGGAACGACCCTTCAGTCAATAGGCACCCTCTCCTACACACTACAAAACGCACTTTGCACATTATAATTGGTTCCAGAAGTACTGCCTCCTCTATCCACCTCGCTTAAATATCCACTTACTCCACAAAGTGCGGGGGTCAGTCCATTTCTGCCACTCCCTCTGGAACAATCTTTCCATTACCTGTACATGGGACTGACTGTCCCATTGTTTGACTAAAGGTCTTCCTAAATGCATTATCACTGATTCTTTTAAATCCCCCTTCACCTCACCTGCTGAGCTCTTTTATAATTTGTTATAGGTACGTGTGTTTGTATCTAGAACAGAGGATGTGTGTGTTGATCTCTTTCGTCACCCATTTATAAATACATAATTTACGTACGAAACCTGAGGGTAATTTTTATAACATGGCAATCATAGGCGGAGTTTTACTTCTATATTAGGGGGGGGGGGGGCGGCAGGGTTTAACTTTGTCTGTAACATTAGGAATCGCATACAATTAATGTATTTTTAAGCGCGTTGCCCTCCCTTGCCCCCCTCCCCCGCAAACTCCGCCCATGATGGCAATATACAATGCCTTGCAATTGCTTGAACAAATACGAGGCATAAAAAATATATTACAGAAAGTATGATTTCCTTTCTAAATAAGTGTGATTTCAGAGAGATTTTAACGTGTATGAAACTGGCCGTAAGATGAAACCTCACTTGAAAAGTGTCTCCGATACAATGCACAGCAGGCGAAACACTGCCCACCACAGACTATTACCACGATCTACTATGGGGATTGACTGTGACCACTGGCCGAGGAAACTAGAGCTTTGTTTATTGTTAATATGAAAATGTATTGTTCAAACCGTGGGCTGCAATGACAATTCGTGGTGACATGGCCTCAGAGGCAAGCATTGCCATTGCTGGGGAAAGTCACGCCCCTCCCGTGTGCAGCCACGCGTGCTATGCCACCCGGCTGGTTTTTTTTATAAGAATGAGACCAGTAATTCTTGAAAAATGTGTCCTAACAATTTTAATGTGTCCCAGCAATAACCCTGAATGAAAACTCATGAAAGATAAGTGACATATGCCCTGAATGCCCTCCAGCATGCCATGTATATGAACGTTTCCAAAACATACATCACGAAGAAAAAAATATACTGTTTTATTTATGACAAAGTTGAGGGTCTGATGGAAAATGTAATTTTTCAACGAAGGCCTCAATAAATAAAACCATTGAAGAAAATATAATTCATATCGTACAGATAAAAATATTTCATTCTGCACCCACGATGGACGACAACTTGTTTTGCAGCTGACAGCAAGCAAATACAGTGGCGAAGACAAGGAGCTGAATGCCTGCCTGCCTGTAATAAATGCTGCTGGAAGTGACTGATAGTTCATAACTTATTCCAGTCAAAGTTAAAAACAACTGATTATATATTGCTACAGCAGCAAATAGATACATGTATAGTATAGTCAATTATACACAGTGTTTTACTGTTTTATAAACACATTGTGTATTTTTCGATTATAAGCTTTCGTGACTGCAGGGATTCATCTTCTTGGTTCTTTCGGTAAGGTCACGTAGAATGGAAAAAATAATAATAAAATAAAACATAATAAAATAAAATTCTCACGACGTTTCGGCCACAACACAAGTAGCCTTCTTCAGGTGAAGGAACAGAACTGTTGGGACGACAGCGCTTCAATGAACACTGCTAAGCTTGGCAGCATCTTTTAAGCTGGGTGGGAGGAGCAGAGCGCCTTGACAAAGGAGTTTACATATTAACAGAATAATTTAGCATTGAAATAGATGTGTTAATGTCTTCAATGCTAAATTCTTCTGTTGATATGTCAAGGCGCTCTGCTCCTCCCACCCAGCTTAAAATACGCTGCCAAGCTTAGCAGTGTTCATTGAAGTGCTGTCGTCCCGACGGTTCTGTTCCTTTACCTGAAGAAGGCTACTTGTGTTGTGGCCGAAACGTCGTGAGGATTTTATTTTATTATGTTTTATTTTTATTATTTTATTTCCATTCTACGTAACTTTACCGAAAGAACCAAGAAGACATTGTTTATTATGTAAAATAAAAAAGCCCTGCACAAAGTACTATATATACTTAAATTAGTGGGCTTCTCGATTTCAGGGAGTTCTTTCCTAACATTATGATAATAGGCTATTGCTGAGCAGTTCATGTACATTTGTAGCATGGTTACGAAAGCAAACATGATCATTTGTTTTTCATGTCAATAAAGTTGAGAGACAGGACCAGCTACTGCTCATTTAGGCGCACCGTGAGATGTACGAATCCAGTCTTAAGCAGATGAATGTGATTCTGAGTCTGGCCACGTTGGCCTAGTAGAGCTTATGTAATACCTGTTTGTTATTGCAGCCTTTTCCATTATTTTCATCTTCATTTCTCTCTGCATGTTCCCACCCTCTTTACCCCCCAACATTGACCCGCTCTGCTCAAGATCTGGAGGCAGATTTGGCTTAGTCCTTTAATCCCATCCGCAAGGCATCACTTGTTGCTATAGCGATGGTTGTGGGCCACTCATTCTTCAGGCAGTGGGTGGGAGCAGAGTGGTAATTAAGTGGCACCGAGTGGAACTCTGGCCCATTACCCAGCGCGCCCTCAAAAGTGCCCTTTCTCTGCTCAAGCTGTGGCTATTTTGTGGCATTTTTAGTTTCTGGGGCATGCTGAAACGCAGCTGCTGGGAGAAAGTTGTACAGCATTAATCTCCACACACATTACATAAACGTGTAAACATATGTAATTGCATTTATGTTTTATAAATGAATTACGACTGCAGTAGTTAGGCTCTGGATGTGTTATGTAGTGTGGAAATTTAATTAAGAGACCATGAGGTCCTTCAATGTGTGAATACTATTCGACTGAAATGCAGTGGAGTAAAGCGCTTGTCATTGAACGAGTTACTAAGGAATGCACATTGGGTTATCCATGTTATTTTAGACAATATACAACAATATACAACTGAGAACATATATATAACATTTTAAATGTTTTACATATATTTTTTAAGTGATACAATATTAAAAAAAAACTATTACACAGACATATGTTCGAATGCAAGCTAGCAATACGCATACTTTATGCATTAAGCGTGAGGGAATATGCATTCATGTTTTTTTTGTGAGGAAATGGTACTTATCAACATTCATATGACCAGCAGTGGTGATTGTATGCCTACAACCACCACTTGGCTTTCCATTCCATGTTTTCACTCAACGCATCGACACCGCCAATGTTTAGCAATCAGTAAGCTGCAATATATGCATTGCTGTGCGCTTATCAACACAGCCAGCCCCTCTGCTGACCATATACTCCACGTGGGGCACATTTAACTGCTCACGTCTGTACAAACAGATAACAACCAGACGCATATTATTTCACTGTGAGCGACGGTTTGCAGGCACCCTTTCAAGTCAGCCATCAGCTACCACCTTTGTTTACATTTTAACAGCTTACCTTGTTGCATATTGAAGAGCTACTTACTGTACACATCAGGTCATAGATACACAATATCTCCTATTTGGTATGCAGTAGTTTTATTATTCTATGCAACATATCGGTCATTATAAAGTTATTGGCAATAGAGGTCTTACTGTGTTGTTAATGTGAAATGTGAAGTCGACGGCCAACACGACAACACATCCGCGTAAACCTGCTGACAAGTTTTGAAAAATCCTTTTTTTTTAACCCATTGCTTTGAAAAAAATCTCTTTTTTAGCACGGCCAGCCCAAACGTGGTGAATAGTGCAGACGAGGTGGGTGGGGGGGGGGGGCACCACGAATTCTCCCCCACAGTCGGCCTGAATCGTTGACAGACAGGCGCTGTACAACGGCCTTTGACTATTTGGGCATGCGACTTTGCCTCTCCCCGCCACCCCAGCCCCCACCAAAAAAAAGAAATTCAGCCAAAACTCCGTTTGCCAACAATGAATAAAAACCACCGTTCTTTTCTGAGACGGCCTTTTATGGAGTTTTTTTTTCCTCCCCTTCTTGGATGAACAATCCGAGGATGTCGTTTGTTATGTGTTTGGACTTGTGATGCGTTTTTTTTGTATTTCATTCAAATATCGGTAGTGAGGAAATCAAAATAACGTGTAACAAATGGAAAATTTTATTCTCTTTATATTAGGATTTATTATTCCATTTGCCAGAAATTTGGAAATCATTGAATTATTTTTTAGCACCACAGGCAAAACCAAATCAAAAGTCTATAACGTGAATAAACAATAATGATACCTAAAGTCTAAGACAAAATAAAGATGTCCTCCGTTGGTCTTTCTGTCTGCGTGCATGCATGCATATCTACGTCTCTGTATGTATGTAAGTGTATGTGCGTATTTGGGAAATGGGCGGTGCAGTGGTTAGTGCACAGTGCTAAAAATTTGGCAACCTGAGTGGTTCCTGCCCACGGCTAACATCAATGGAGAGTAATACTGCAGAGTATATGAAATGGTCTTGGGTCTCACCTAAGTCAACTCATCTTTAAATGAATTCTTGGTGCAGTTTGCGAACATCAGCACTGAGGAGACATAGGCCAACAGTCCACAATACCTCCTCATGGGCAATGCTACCCTAAATAAGTGCTCGTTACCAGGAATTGAGGGCCAGGTCGACTCAGCCTCAATTAAGTACCCGGTGTAGTGTGTAAACATCACCACTGGGGAGACGAAGACGACCGGGCGTGGTCTTGGCAATCTACCCCCTCGAGTGCCATGCTGGCCTTCATAACAACACTTGCCCTAATAGTCTGTAAAGGCTATACAGGGGATCTTTGTCTTTGTGGACACAATAATTAGTACAATGTGCTAAGATCCTAACGAACTCAGTTAGATTTTACCATTCACAACAGATAAACTGATCACACCCGGCCACAAATGCTGATGGACGTGATTTTGACCGTACCACAACATCCCCACATACGTCTTGCTGGCTTGAAGAAGTGCTCACTAACAGCACTTGCTGTTGCTCTAGAGTTTTAAGGCTGACTGAGGCATCTTTGTGTGTGTTGGTGTATGTTGGGGGTGGCGGCAGCTGGCGAACAGACACCTGTATTCCGGCAGCTCGGATGGCACCGCTCGGCGCTGGCTGTCAGAGGTCGGAGGTTGCGCCCGCGTCTACCGGCCACACAAGCACACCGTCAGCACGCTCAGATACCACGATGGCATTTGTAAGCTCGCAACGCACGCATTTTCCATGTTCTGAGATGGGTTGTTTGTGAATACACTGCTAAAAATGCCACTTTGCTATGTGAGCTACCAAGCTCACACCATTGACACTAGTCCTGCGCTGCTGTACAACATCAGGCATATACACGACTTTGATCTGTATGACTGCACGTGACAATAACCAGGTCTCCTGGAAACTGTTTTTTTAGGAACATTGGCTGTTTCAGGAATTGTTTTATTGGAAAAGTAAAGTTCCTTGGCCAGCTTAACCTATGGTAACTGTGGCTAACCCAACCAAAAGTTAGATTAAAGGAAGCTCAATAGGCCATAATTTATAGGAAGTCCTTTAAGTCACAGTGGTAATCACAGTGCATGGCCTCCTAGTTTAAGGTGGGCATTAGTCTTGTGTGCTCTTATCAAGTTGAGCAGAGCGTGTGAGGCATTACGCCCACCAGGAAGCACATCGGGCATACACCCAGTAATGATTAATCACCCAGCGGCCAGGGGAAGCTTTGCTTCATTGCCGCTTCTATTTAATAATTTCTTAAGGGAGGGAATAAATCAGTTTTCCAGCAACCATACTTTGCACAATAATACAACCCTGTTTCTCATGATCCAAACCTTACCAAGTTCCTTGCCTTGCCCAAACAAACTTTCTTCTTCAAAAGGAATGCTTGCTGTAACTTATCTGTCAAACACTGGCCATAACAAACACATAGGGATAATGGCTTTACTCAGAAAATTGTGGCCACAGGCAAACAATGATAGCAAGAGAACGTGTAGAAACATGTCTAGAAATGTACTTGTTGCAGAAGGTAAAGTTATAGCTTACCCTTATGAGACAGATTCTGAATATTCAATCTCTTTTTTCAGATAGTCTTACAGACGTACACGATCAAGCTAGAACGTGCGTCATTGCAATGTTTTTACACTTGTATTCCAATGTATTTTGACTGTCACATTTTCACGTTGCCCATCTAGAATTAAATGTCACAGTCTAAACTGGTGGTGGTTAAACAACTGTAAAAAATATGATAGCCATATTCAAAATTACGCCACACAGATACTTGTGTAGCTATATCCAAGGGGCCACATATATTTCGCAAATCTACAAAGCAACAGAGGATTGCCTCTTATGCACATGCTACTCCCTTCCCCGCTCCTGTCCCCACCCTCACTCTACCTTCTCACACCATCACAACAGTACTCGACCCCACTATGCCTCTAAATCTCCCATCCACTGCACCCCCATCACCTTGACTGCATTCCTTCCCTGCACTTGCTCACACAGCTGAGTGAACTTCTCCCCTGTGGACAGACTCCCACCCACCACCAGCCCTCCCTGGTTCAAACACAAGTACGTACACAGCCACAAATCCCCAAGCCATCGCCTCCTTCCCGAAAAACACGTGACCATCAGCACGATTTGAACAACCTGCAGGTCCTCTGTTCACCTCACTGCTTTCATCAAGTCAAAGTTATTCCCTGCTTAAATGAGCATTGAGGTGATGCTCTATCATCTAATGCTTACATTCCTGAGTGGTGAAAATTCCAAGCTCCTATGGTGGGGGGGAGTACATTAAAAAGACAACCACTGTTAACTTTCCTACAAGGTGGTACTTACTTTATATACCCCAGAGAGATGATTGGCCAAGTCAAATCCCAATCAGGATTTGAACTCGCATCGTACTGAGTGCAAGCTATTCGCTCAACCACTGAGCCACCTGTCTGAACGTTTTCAACCTGAAACAGAGCTTGTTAAATGGTCACGTGGTTATCGTTCTGATGCATATATTCACGGTGCATATATATTTTAAGAAAACCGCTGTGTAATTCGGCCAAAGGAGAGAAAACGCACAAGAGAATGACCACCGCGGAAGCGGTGAGATCAGTTAATGTGCAGGAGTGACAGATGGCTGCGCTGGCTGGGTCATGTAGCCTGCATGTCCAGCCACCGCATGCCCAATCAGCTTCTGTTTGGCCGGATAGAGGGGGCTAAACGGGCCCGACACAAGCTGGAAATAGAGATGGATTAATGCGGTACAGAAGGATGTGGAGTTGAGTGGCTTTCCTGAAGACTGGTATCAAGATCGGCCTCTATGTAGGAGGCTCGTAAAGGACACTATTGGGCAGTTCGAGGCAGTCGTCCTCCATCAACAATGGAGGGCAGAGGAGCGGCACTCACATCAACGAGCATTGTGCTGGGCAGCTAAAATGCAGCAAGTTGGCAGAGTAAGGGGCACAGCTGGTGCATCTGCAGTCATTTGAGTCAGTCAACCCATGGCACTTGGGTCTATCCCGTGATCTCCTGTCAGCGAGCCTTCGATACTTCACGTAGTCTCAAAGTGCACCTGGCCTGGCACAAGCGCCGTTGTGACGTTACCGCCACTTTGTGGTGAATGGCGGCTGTTGTCATTGATGGTAACAGCACTGGACCATGAGGGACGGCAACAGCGTGGAGAGTCCTTAATCCAGCAGTGGAGAGTCCTTAATCCAGCAGTGGATAGACAATGCCGACGATTATGAGAATGACAATTTGGCATATGCAGGGTAATTCATCATTCGATGATCTCGTATTCTTAAACCACTTAGTCATAGTTTGTGAGATGGGCTCTAAAATAAGGCTGGCATTGTATTGCTCTGACAGACGTTTAATTAACAATCATTGTAATCTTTTGACAATACATCAGATTTCTTGGTGGCTAGCGACACATTTACTTGCAAAGGTGTGGGTTTATGCCAATGACAGAAAGTGGTTTAATAACTTTGACAATGTTAAACTCTAACTGTATACTTGTGCAAGATGGGCTGTATCAATGAGATGCACTCTTGTTACCATGTTTACAGTGTTTACAGGCAGTGGAGATACTTTGGCCCGAGCGTTTGATGCAAGGTCTGGTGCCCTGAAACGCACATTTAAAGGCCACACAGGGATCATCAACTGCCTGGAGGTAAGAGTTGAGTCCATCGTTCTGGACATGGTTAATTTACATGGCTTTGTCAAATTAAAGCATGCCCTTTTAAATATTTGTTGTCGCCTATTGTCAATCCACTAGGGGTTGTTTGACCTTACTTCACGCTGGTCAGTGTGGGTTTGTGAAGTGAATTGGGTCATATTCTTGGGTTTGTCGGTAAAGTCACAAGCAATCGTCATGATGATGATTGCTTGCTTGTAGTTTTTTGGTATTTTTTGTTATTTTCTTTGAACCTATCTACGTGACTTTACCGAAAGACCCAAGAATATGAATTCCTGCAGTCACGAAAGCTTTAAGTCAAGATGACTTAGGTCAGTTTAACACATAGGCTTCCACGACCTATATCATCCATAATACAAGTTTTTTTGGTTAGAGCACATAAATATAAATATGTCATTAAAACCCGCCACCACCTGACACAGCCAAATAATAAGGTTTGTCACATAAGTAGAACATGCCAATTCGTTACTAGTACAGCACACCGGTGTATTGGAGAGTAAATCCACAACATTTACAATCTGAGTCCAACGTTTTGGCAGTAATTACAACCAGCATCATCAGGCGATACACCGGTGTGTTGTACTAGTAACGAATTGGCATGCTCTGCTTATGTGACAAACCTTACTAATTGGCTGTGTCAGGTGGTGGCGGGTTTAACGACACATTTTTATTCACGCAATCTAACCCACAAAAACCTCTATTATGAATGAGAAGGGTTCGCCAGAGCCAGTTACTGTCTGCAGAAATTGAACGCAAGTTGTTAGGTTCATAATGCAGTGCACCATCCACTGCACCACCACAACGCCTTAAATTATGAATGGTGCTATAAACATATATAATTACAATAACAAACGATGATTCAATTAATTGCTTGAACCCCACAGGTGGTAAACGGAAAGCTGTTCACGGGCTCACACGATGGTACGCTACGCATATGGGAGGTGCAGAGCCTCTATGAGCAAGAGAAGCCCCCTGAACGTGAGCAAAAAAAGGGAGGACTAAAGGGTCTAGCGCCGAGCAACAAGGTGGGAGGACTGCCCGAGACACAAGTGGCCGTCTCTGTGGGCTGGCCTGACGGGCAGAACCCTCCCGAGCACCTCTCGGAGCTCGGCCTGCAGCGTCAGAGAGAGATGGCCGAGCGCGAGGCCATGCAGCTCGTGTGAGCCATGGAGCCGGCATGCTACAGCAGCTGTTTCGGTTGCTGCCACGCTCTCGACGATGGCGTGAATGCCCTTTCAGACACCGCTGCATACTAACGCTTGCATGCATCGAGAGTACAAAAAAAACTCAGAAGGCTGCGCATTGTAGGAAAGAATAATTCCCCGACACCGACTGAAAACATATGTTGCGCGTACGTTCGTCTCGAATGTGCTGTCGGGCTGTACCAGACTGATTTCTGGCATGTTGTTCCAAGCGCTGGGAGCTCCTCCAGGAACTATTGGTCAGCACCAACAGCAAAAACAACGTATGCAGTTGAGTATATTCATTACCTTGACAAATTTACACGTTTAAGAAGAGTCGGTAAAAGTGAGTCAATCCATCAAATTCAAATACTGTACTGTATAATGGACTCGGGCCATTGTATTCGTAGATATGAAGCAAACACAAATAAAGTAGATTACAAATGCTTTCCACAATCACAGCTTATAACTTATAATAAATATAGAGTATTGTCAGTATTTTTAGTATTACTTTATAGAACGGTTTAAGCTGTTCGACAGCATCACTGCGGGTGTCATCTCTTCCACGGTTCAAATGGAGTTAAGCAGGCGAGAAGCACACCACTTACCACATCACAGTACGCTTACAAATGCATTTTTTCCCCCTCAAGATTAATAGTGAAAGTATAAAAAGCGTAGAGAAAGTGTACTCTTATATTAACAACTTAACAGCATGATTCATACTCTGTTTCTTTTAGGTCAGGTCGTGTCAAAATGTGTCGCAACCCCTCCTCCACCTGACACTGCCACGTGAATCAAACGTGGCCAATTGTATTACTGCTTTAGCAGCACCACCACCAGTGTCATTGTCGGAGAAGTAATTTCCACATTTAAATGGCTGCGACGTTCCGCTGGAGATTACATCCAGCGTCATCAGGTTGTTAACAGGAGCTCAGGTCTTGAGGTCTAAGCTAATCTCCAGCGAAATGTCAAAATATCGTACCCATTTAAACGTTGTGAAACCAATTGTGAATCATAACATTGGTCGTGAAAGCCTACGTATAAAATTAACAGAATTTTCAGTTAAGATGTTTTCAGCTGTCACACTCAAACCCACAAGAGGTTTACCACTACAAAAAATCTGTATTTAATGAGTCGTGTTCTCTCAAGTGCACTCAAGCGCCAAACGTGAATTATACAATGTATTCCATGATTGACGGGCACGTGTAATTGTTTATTTCAGTGCTGAAACAAAGAACACATCTGTCGTGCTCCTACCTAATACTGTTGAACTGTTGTCTTGTTGTCCTTCGGTGTAAGCGTTTATCCGGTTTACTCTGGGTTACGACAATGTTACCGTGGTGAGTGAATGCAAACAACATTGACAAAGTGGCAACAACGCTCAGGTGGACGAATGTGCAAATAACCTGGCCAGAGCAACTGACGCTTTCGGCAAACACCGTCTGAGCTGGCCAATGTGTCTTTTCACCAATGCGCTTACAAGTACGACAGTATTTAAAAATATAATAATGTTATTTATTCCCTAAACTATTCATGACACAACCACGAATTGCAATTTTATGTTGTTAGTTTAATCGGGCCGGCATTGATGTCTCACAATTTTGTTTGACAGCGTCACTTTTACGAATCAAAAAGGGCCTTCGTGAAACGGGAATTGACGTTGATAAACTGAGGCAAAATGTATCTTGCATACTCGTAAACTGGTTGTACAGTATTGTTTGGGTCTTTCGGTAAAGTCACGTAGATAGGTTCAAAGAAAATAACAACGACGACGTTTCGATCACAACACGAGCAATCGTCGTCCTGATGACGATTGCTTGTGTTGTGATCGAAACGTCGGAGTTGTTTTTATTTCTTTGAACCTATCTACGTGACTTTACCCAAAGACCAAAAGAAAATGAATTCCTGCAGTCACGAAAGCTTTAGGTCAAGATTTGGTTGTACTGTTCTTTGACTTGTGCAACGTGCCCGCTGAGACAAGGGTTTTGAAATATTCAACTAACTGGCCAGGTTGAGATCAAGGACAACACCCCCTGATGTAACGTCCATCAGAAGCAATGTAAAGCCTGACACTTGACAGTTGTTTTTGCTGTCAACAGCCGCAACTTAAGATATCTACAGCAGGCGTTATTCGAAACCTGCGTCGGTGGTGAAAGTTTTTCAAGCATGTGCGTTACAGCTCCTGTCTTGCAAAAAATATATATGGATGTCACACACTGCAGATAACATCACTCTTTAGTTCTTTCGGTAAAGTCACGTAGAAAATTTTTTAATAATAAATATTGATATAATACATTTCTTTCTACGTGACTTTACCGAAAGCACCAAAGAGTAATTCCTGCAGTCACGAAAGCTTCGAATATGTGCAGATAACATGTTTAATTTATACTTTGTTACACTCTTTTGTAATCAGTTTTATATTTTATTTTGTAATCTATACATGTACATTAGTCTAAGCCTAAATATTGTTGTTGAAATACTTTCTTTTGTGTTTTGTTGTACAAATAACAAACTACAGTATGTCTGTTGTAAAAATGTAAACATTGCAATTTGACATTTTTGCATTCGCAGCACCTTTTGCCCAGTTTCCAGGATACCAACATTCAATACCTCATACATTTGTTGATTGGGGTTAGGTAAATGATTGGATTGTTCCATATGTATGACGCATTTCTGCATCATTCATTTGATTTAACTGCAGGGGGAATAGGGTTCGTTTTGGTAAGGATGTAGTTTATCTGGAAAGTACAAACGTGACCGTGGAGAATTGGGTGTCGGCGCTGATTTCACATTTCCATATTTTACCCGCATGCAAGTGTAGTGGTTGATTTCACTCGGACAACTTTTGCTTTTATTCCAACACCACTTTATTTACAGTTCTCCACATGTCCTCAATGCTACACAGTTCCCTTGTTGCCACAGCTCGCTCGCCGTGCCTCACTCGACTCGCTCGCCGCCTTTGTCTCTCCAATCTCCACTTCTCCGTCAGCTCCGATGTCTCTGTGCTTCCCCCACTGCTGGCTGCTTCGTCTCTGCTCCCCGCTATCACTGTGCTCTCTCCACTGCTAACTGCTTCGTCTCTGCTCTCCGCTATCACCGTGCTCTCTCTACTGCTGGCTGCTTCGTCTCTGTCTTCCGCTCTTCACTATCACTGTGCTCTCTCCACTGCTAACTGCTTCGTCTCTGCTCTCCGCTATCACTGTGCTCTCTCTACTGCTGGCTGCTTCGTCTCTGTCTTCCGCTCTTCACTATCACTGTGCTCTCTCCACTGCTAACTGCTTCGTCTCTGCTCTCCGCTATCACTGTGCTCTCTCTACTGCTGGCTGCTTCGTCTCTGTCTTCCGCTCTCCGCTATCACTGTGCTCTCTCTACTGCTGGCTGCTTCGTCTCTGTCTTCCGCTCTCCGCTATCACTGTGCTCTCTCTACTGCTAACTGCTTCGTCTCTGCTCTCCGCTCTCACCGTGCTCTCTCCACTGCTAACTGCTTCGTCTCTGTCTTCCGCTCTTCGCTATCACTATGCTCTCTCGACTGCTAACTGCTTCGTCTCTGCTCTCCGCTCTTCGCTATCACTATGCTCTCTCCACTGCTAGCTACTTCTCTCTTCAGCTGCTCCACGTCTTGCCTCGTCCAGCCTCCGACTCCAACTCCCCGTTTCTCCTCGCGTCTCCCCAATTTATCCCCGCTCTCATTACTCCCCAATTAATTAACCCGCGTCCCAACGACGCTCCGCGTGCCCGTGCACCTGTGACCTCGCCAGACTTCAAGACGCCACTCCAGCTCTGACAACAACACCAGCCAATCACACTCCAGCCCTGACAACAACACCAGCCAATCACAGCCGTCCCTGGCTCCCCAGCTTAATTGGCCCAATCGTTACCTCTTCGTCCCAATATGACCCCCTACTGCCCTGCTCCTGCGCAATCTCACCAATTACCCCCATGCGTCTATTTATTCCACTACACAAGCAAAACACCGAAGCATCACGATACACATACAACAGTTTCTTATTTAATCTTAAACTACGGAATGAGATCATTTACTTTCACAGAGAGTGTGCCGTTGATTCATCTTGCGGCTTGAAAATACCTTGAGGACAAAAAGGTAAATAAAACCCTGAAACTCGTTTCATTGAAGCAGTGTTAGATTTAATACGCTATTTTTCATTGTCAAACAAACCCATTTATCAGATTATTGAATATGCTCATGCTGCATTTAGCTTGGGGGTTTAATATCCAATATTATTACTGCTTCTTTAAATCTCAGTTTGGTTTCTATGTTTATCAATCCTGATTACAAATTTGCCGCATGAGCTCCAATGAAAACATTTTGATTAGCATTGCTTGGAATTACCAAACAAATTAACTGGGCATGTAATTGATCCATGATTATCGGTGACAATTTGTGGTCATAGCTTTTGGTTCAACAATTGGTTGTTATTTAGGGCATTCTGGTGTGTGTCGAAGACCTAGTCACTGCAGAGTGTGTACAAAGCACTTTCATACACTGCATACAAATAAAAAACGATTAATTAAATTTTAATCAATGAATTAAGGCATTGTGATACACCTATAACTAACCTTGCGAGCGTACTGTTAACGTGTAATTAAACGGTGCTTTAAACAAATGGATCGTTACTCATCTGCATTTAAGTTGGCATTTTGTCTGTGGTACGGAGTGATTGGAGTGAATTAAACGTGTTGCCTTGGTACCATCTTCCCTGTGTGCAATCACTTGCCATCCCTGCAGCGATTAAAGCCTCAGAAGAATATACAAAACATTGTCCACAACAATAGGGAAACTTAGACTATATTACAATGGACATTAACATTGGTTTACAACCTTGTGAGATAAATATCTTGCCTCGACTCCCATCACAGTCTATGTCCAACCCCATGTCCCCAGGTCTATCGCCCACCTCGAAAGCTCCACGTCATAACCGCCACCTCTTCACGTGCTTTCCCCAGGTCTCTCACCACCACCAACTCTCCATATGCTCTCTCTCCTAGGTCTCTCACCACCACCAACTCTCCACATGCTCTCTCCCCCAAGCCTCTCACCGCCACTATCTCTCCACGTGCTCTCTCCCCCAAGCCTCTCACCACCACCAACTCTTCACGTGCTCTCTCCCCCAAGCCTCTCACCACCACCAACTCTCCATGTGCTCTCTCCCCTAAGTCTCTCACCACCAACAACTTTCCACATGCTCTCTCCCCAGGTCTTTCACAACCACTAACTCTCCATGTGCTCTCTCCCCCAGGTCTCTCACCACCACCAACTCTCCATGTGCTCTCTCTCCTAGGTCTCTCACCACCACCAACTCTCCATGTGCTCTCTCTCCTAGGTCTCTCACCACCACCAACTCTTCACGTGCTCTCTCCCCCAAGCCTCTCACCAACACCAACTCTCCATTTGCTCTCTCCCCCAGGTCTCTCACCACCACCAACTCTCCATGTGCTCTCTCTCCTAGGTCTCTCACCACCACCAACTCTCCATGTGCTCTCGCCCCCCCCCCCCCCAAGCCTCTCACCACCACCACCACCACCAACTCTCCATGTGCTCTCTCCCCCAGGTCTCTCACCAACACCAACTCTCCATGTGCTCTCTCTCCTAGGTCTCTCACCAACTCTCCATGTGCTCTCTCTCCTAGGTCTCTCACCAACACCAACTCTCCATGTGCTCTCTCTCCTAGGTCTCTCACCACCACCAACTCTCCATGTGCTCTCTCCCCAGGTCTCTCACCACCACCAACTCTCCATGTGCTCTCTCCCCCAGGTCTCTCACCAACACCAACTCTCCATGTGCTCTCTCCCCAAGCCTCTCACCACCACCAACTCTCCATGTGCTCTCTCCCCCAAGCCTCTCACCACCACCAACTCTCCATGTGCTCTCTCTCCTAGGGCTCTCACCACCACCACCTCTCCACGGAATATCTCCCCAGGTCACTCACCATCACCAATTCTCCACGTCCTCTCTCCCCAGGTCTCTCACAACCACCGAATATCTCCCCAGGTCACTCACAATCACCAATTCTCCACGTCCTCTCTCTCGAGGTCTCTCACAGCCACCACCTCTCCACGGAATATCTCCCCAGGTCTTTCATAACCACCACCTCTCCACGGAATATCTCCCCAGGTATATGTTTCCATCGCACAGAGCTCATCACTTGCTCGCTTCCAGGTTTCTTCCTCCAAGATGTCCTCGAACACTGCGAACACATCGTGAATAGACATCCCTCACACCCCAAATGTCCATCCTTTTCAAACATATAATTAATTCCTGACCAATGGATCTCCCAGATGTTTATTCAAATGAATGGAGCATTGTCTCCTTATTCTTAGTTCTTTATTGTTTCCCTTCAACGTGACTTTACCGAAAGAACAAAGAATATGAATTACTGCAGTCACGAAAGCTTTAAATCATTGTCTCCTTGTTAGTCTGTGTCATACTATGCTGCTAAGATAGCCACTAATCTGTCTCCGTAATGTCCCGGTGATGCTTGAGCCTCACCAGAATATTATGGAGCTGGCCTCTCAGCTGGCTCTGAGCCTCTCCGTCATTCTTATTTACTATTATAATGAGCCAAGAATGTCTGTGTTTCTCGCACGTGACGTCACTCCACGTCGGCCAGCCCCCCTCATTGATAATCATGAACAGGTGACGTCCTCCACATGGACCCCCCCCCCCATTAATAATCATGAGCGGATGACGTCATTCCACGTGGAGCACCACCCCCCCCCCCTCAATAATCATGAACAGGTGACGTTA